CAAACTTTCAGAGCGTATGTGTTATTTCCTTTAGCATTTGTGTTGATGAGGCTTTCTTGAATGAGACTGAAATACTACTGTCTTTGTGAGCCGGGGGAAAACGAAGTTGTATAGAAAAGTATCACATCTGAAATAAGCTTGTGATTTATGTTTTTGTATCTTAAAGGCTGGGCGACCTTGAAAAAAATCAGTATTGTCTCTGAGTACAGGTTCCCAAGTGAAAAATATTTTCTATATCTTTCCCACTAATTAGTTATTAACATCAAATGAAATGAACAGTTGAAATCAGTTTCAAATTGTGATAAGTAATGCAAATACAAATTCCACTAGCATTGAGAATTGAGTAATTTCAGAATTCTAGGAGTTGTCTTGGGGAGGAAAGTTCAAGAAGGGACCAAGTAGTAAGTAGTAGACACTTTCCACGTTCCACAAACTACCTTACATAATTCTCACAGCCACTTCCCAGGCAGTTTCTTTGTTAAGTGCTACTTCATAGATAGAGAAACTTAAATTCAAGCAGATTAGAAGCTCGGCCAACGTGGGGTTATGAAATATCAATGAACTCTGGAAATGGGATCTGGGTCTGTCTTATTAAACACCTGCATTTTACAGACATTCAGCTATTTGTTTAACTGCTTCCAAGCCCTGAGCAAATAAAGTATTGCTTCAGTCAAACTTGAAAAAGATTTCTTAAAATGGAAGCAGCCATAGCATAATTGGCTTTGTCTTGAACACAGTCTGTTTTTCTTTAAGAACCCGTCATGATTTCCCTCAGATTCCATCAGCCATGTGCCTCCTGCCCCCGAAGCATCCTCAGCTCCTGCGTTCTTTCTCTTTCCACATTATCTTGTCTGGTTGCCCTTTAATTATATCCTTCCAACTTTCAGTTTATTTCCTTTAAGTACATACCACAATTTGTGATTAAGGTTTTCTGTTTTCTGCCCTATACATCCACCAGGAATACAACTCTATTAACATTCTTGTATCTGACTTAGCATGGAACAGTTACTTAAAAAATTCTTTTAAAAAGAATAAGGATGAGAAAATGGGAGAAATTAAGCGAAGCAGGGAGAAGTTATTTGAAACTCAAGTAATCTGAATCTCTATATTGCAGAATTTTAAAAAAGAGAATGATGGGGGAAACAAAAACCACACAGAGCTGTGCCTCGCACGTATGATCCATAGGGTCTGAGGAAATGATGGTCACAGGGAAGCCGTGCACTTGTGTCATAGCTTCTGCCTCACAGATTCTCCCAGCCCAGATCTTGTCTTTCCAATCAAAGAAGAAACCTGCTTCCTTTTGTTCTCTCTATTGTCTCTTTTTTTTTCTAAACAGGTGGACAGTGTCCTCTGTGGGTGGAGAACAGCATCCAGAAAAGTTCAGTCATCATCCACAGGGACTCAGAAATAGGCAGGAAAAGTCAGAGTGAAAAGAACACAACATGAAAGTCCCTTGTCGCACATGGGGAGTCAGTTATTAGGAGAGGGCTCACCCTGCCAGCATTCAAGGTCTAGCCTTGTTATTCAAAAGCTGTGGAACTTTATGTTAGTCAATCCCTTCATCTGTAAAACAAAACAAAATAACAAAAACATAGCCTCCTAATAAGACTATTGTGAGAAAATGATATCATTGTAAAAGATTTTTAGCATTAATTATTTCCTGTGTGTATGAAATGTCATTAGTTGATGAAAATATTTTTGGAGCATGAAAGAAACTATCAGTTAATGAGTTAAATTTAATAATTATGCTAATCGTTTTGAGGTTTAAACCCTATGCAAGAATGTTTGTCTTCTTGAATTTCTTATTTGTCTATTTCTTAAAGTATGTGAAAAGAGAATGGAAAACAAATTTTGCAATTCTCATGAAAGAAAATCATTGTCCACTGAAATCCTGGATGAACCCTGGGAACTTTGCTCTGTGCCGTCTTGGTGAGGTGGGGTAAGATTATACGTGGCAGACTGAAGCAAAACCTGGAGAAAACAAGAGGAGGGCATCACGGGGGAAGCAGACCTGCGGCAGCATAAGGAATTAAATTCTGGGAACTGGAACGGATTCAGAAAAACACATAGGACCTATGTTACTTACTCCCCATGACCCGGGCCCTGCCTCAAATGCTTCATACCAATTACATGCATGGACTGTTTTCACCCCCTTAGGAAAGGGGAATCCTGATAATTCCCATTATGCTTGTAAGAAAACAGAGCAGGTAGAGATGATGGAGATTGGCAAATGGTCCTGTGACTTCCAAAGGAGCTCTTCAGGTAAAGACTCAGTACCAGGGATGGACAGACACACACACGTGGGATTTACTTACCACTACAAAGGGGACTATGAGGGCAGGGATGTGAATTTTTAATTTAGAGAAGCTTCAAATCCAAAGAGTTTTCTATTGTTTCACAAAATAGTGCTCAAACGCTAACCTTTATTTCTTCTACTCCATCAAAGAAATAATGGAACTAATAATAGGCCATAAAACAATGATACAGTAATAAGATGTTTTGTTTGGAAAGAAAACAGTCCCACCATAAGATTATGCAACTCTCCAGCTATGGTTGTTTTCTTTCTCTCTGTTGTTAACCCCTGCGTATTTGTTCTCTCTCCCTCGCCCTAAACACCAACATGCTTCAGGCAATGATATAGAAAAGCTTAAAAGAGGAAGGAAACTAATACAAAAGTGCAGACACCGGTCAGGCATGGCAATTCCACAGACAGTGCAAACTCTTGGCTTACTTGGTTTGCAACCAGGAAACTTAGTTAACAGCCATCACTTTTTCAAGTCCTCCTGCAAATTCTTCAGTGGGACCCAGTAACAGGAACACGCACAGGCATTTGGAAAAGCTCACGTGTTTAGATGTAATTGCATACATAACTGATGTTCTCCCAAGTGTGAAAATGTAACCAAGTCAAGCACTATAATGAATGCTAACTCAATAGAGCAGAGTTCTACAAAAGATCGGAGAAATCAAAATTCATGGAGTTTCATTGTTTACTTTTAACTAGAGAAAAGGTTAAACACAAAACAAATGCCTGTTCTTTAGTCCTTATCTCTTAAACACTTAGGTCACTCATTTTCCTAGGATGATCTTATGCAGTGCGTTGGCACTGAGAGATTTCAATCATGAAACATTTATCTGTATCACAAGATTACTAGACCTGAACATGCAGATGAGATTTAAAGGAACATCTCATCTTTCTAATACTTTTACTTACTTGCTTAATCAATAACCACTAAATAAAACTTAACTCAATAGAAAGGGATTTAACACTAATACCGCCTTGATGCACATACCAAACAAACAAACAAAAAACAAAAAACAATGGCTTTGCAAACTTCAGAAAAGGCAGATTAAAAAAGAAGGGAGGGGTCATCCTGACTACCAAAATCCCTTCTAGCTATGATCACAAAAACAAACTTTGAAAACTTTGAGTGATTAAAATATGTTCTAAGCAGAGTCAATAATTATGATCTTCATGAACATATTTAGTTTTAGTTTTGTTTAGTTTTTTTCTTTTGCAGACATGGACTTCCTGAAGCCCCAGATGGTCTGGAACTCACTGTACAGACCAGCTCGCCTCAGTTATCACAGAGATCCCCTTGCCTCAGCCACCCAAATGCTGGGACTGAAGGCATGCAGCACCATACCTGGGACTTCAGGAAACCTTTTAAATGCACAGATTTTGAAAAGAGTCTTCTTCCCGATGAGACACTTGAAAGAAGAAAGTGAGGGAGGGAGATGGGCATTTGCGTTTGGACATACTTCTGCCAAATGTGAACTACCGGAGAGTGTGGCGTCCCCACATTTCCATTTTGTGAAGTCATGAGGCACACTTCTGGCTGCTGCTCGCCATGGTCAAGGCCCACTCTGCTCTGCCAGCCTTTCCTCGGCCGGAGCCCGTCAGCCTGGCAGCTCCCTCACTGGATGGGCTTATGAAAATGCCTCAGGGTTTCAAACTACCCATGTTCACACATAGGAAATGCACAACAAGGGGCACTTGGGCCTTCTCGTTAAGGTAAATGCTCTTAGTTTTCATTGGTTAATTCAGGCATCAAAAAAATGCCTAAGGGTTTCAAACTACCCATGTTCACACATAGGAAATGCACAACAAGGGGCACTTGGGCCTTCTCATTAAGTTTAATGCTCTTAGTTTTCATTGGTTAATTCAGGAATCAAAATGGCCCTCACCAGAGTTGAACAGCCCATCGCCCATCTTGCTTTCTGCCTCACACCATGTATATCATTTTAAGTGGGTTAGTTTACACTGTGTGTATATGTTATTTATTAGTTAGTTTTGGAATACTATATCTGCAAGAAAAGCAGCCAGGAAAAATTCAGGGAGACTCAGGACAACCCAGGCCTGATCCATTTCCTAGCTCTCCATGGCTGCAGATTTTGAAGTCTGAGTCAGGCTTCTGCCCTTGATCCAAATATTTATCAGTTAACAATTACGTCTGTTCCAACAGCAACAAACACCCCTGGAGGAATAGATAAGAATACTTTCTTCTCAATTTATAAAATAAGTGTACTTAAACATTTTGAAACAGTCGCCATTCAATGCTTAGATATAGGTCTGTAACCCTAAAACTCCTTTCATTAAATATATGGTCATGCTTTCTTACTGAAGTGTGCTATTTCTCCTTTAAGAAAAAAAGAGAGGTTCCAACGTGTTTGGCTCCTTCCAGTAAGTTCCTCTGTGTTTGCCTCTCTTACCATACATGCAGGCTGCACAGAGTTAGTGGAAGGTCTCGCCAAAGTTCACCGCCTTCTGGCACGAGAACACAGAAGAGAATTCCTTTCCCTCGGAGATGTCAAGAAATAAATTTGCGAGAAGTTTTCTGATATGATTTAGAGTCCATTACTGAATCAGACCACTAATTTTGTAAGCTTTTTATTTTCATACTAGCAAAGAGCTCTTTACAGAAGTCTGCACTGACCTTTTAAGCTTTAAATAGATGTACTTTGACAAACCCGAGGGAAAGCCGCGCTTACAGGGTCCTTACCTTGGTATGCTGGATCTTCAAGTTGGCCAGTGGGGCAGGGATATCTGGGTGTGCCTGGGAAGACATGGCTGATTCTGCTCGTGGAACACAGGTGACAGGCTCAGCACTTGGGTTCTGGTAGAGCATTTGCTCCTTTTTGTCTGCACGGGCTAAGCTTTATTTGCATATTGGGATGTGATTGGATGAAGAGGCTCTGCGCGAGCAGAAAGGACACTAAATTTGTAACACCTAGGGCAGGAAGCTTTTGCCTTTAAACTTAAATCCTTAAGAGACCAGAGCCCTAGCACTGATGTTCCATCTGGATATAGCTCACTATTTGCAGATGAATTAATATGCAAAGTCAAACCTGTGCTGAGGGTGTGTGCGCAGCTGCTCTGGACTCTCCAACTAGTTATTATAATTTTTTTTCTTCTCTTGCTTTATGCCACTCTGTAACTTTCCCTGCTCTGATAGAGTGGGAATCAGAGAATCCGAGAAATGAAGAGTCTAAAACGACTCTTGTTCTCAGCAGGAGCCAGGGATTAGAGGACTATGAATCTTCAGCACAAGTCTGCCAGCAGGTCCATCCCTGTCCCAAACATCAGGGTGCTGCTGTGCAGAAAAGCTCCCTCTCTAGACCCTGTGTTCAGCCAGTTTTAAAAGTTTAGCAACCTGATGTGATTTCAGAAGCCTCAAGATTCTCAGTGATTATGAGTGAACTGTTACAGTTCCACAAGTAGCAGTATGTGAAAATTCATTTAAAACTAAAATAACCCCTGTTTTTAAAAAAAAGTGCATTTGCATGTCATCATTGTAGGCAGTTGTACAAAAAAGAATGTAAACTGTGCTCCCAAGTAGTTTAAATTCTGAGTGTTTCAAGCTGTAGTACTTTCCGCTTTGAATACAGTGCTTTACTGTGTTGGTACTCCAGCAGAAGTTATAAAAGGAAACAGATAAAATTCTTTGAATGCTCTGGTTTGTAAGAATTAGTGATAACCATTTCTCCCTAGTGAAGTTTCTGCCTCCTCTGAGCAGACATTTAGATTGGGAAACCAAGACTCAGGTGGGGGCCTGTTTCTCTTTCCCTGTTCACTTGAGCTTCCCATTTGGTAGACAAAGAGGACAAAAAACAGCTTGCTTCTGACACAGTTCCACAGTATAAGGCTAATCTCGCTTCAGGCTAATATAAATCCAAATCTCAGTCTGTGACTCATATTTCCTTTATGCCCTGTTATCCAGAAGATAATCTCACAGAGGTTCAAGATCAGCTTTGGGTTTTTCAAGTGACGAGCTACAGGGAAGTTAAATTTTACCCTGTATTCATCCAAGCAGGGCTTGGCAAACTTTTTCTTACAGAACTCATATGAAATATTTTCATCTTCCTGGGACATATTGTTTGTGTTGTAACTTACTCTAAGATGATTAAAAGGAACAATAAAACTGGGTTTGGTGGTGCTTGCCTTTTGTCTTAGCAGTAGAAGGCAGAAGCAAGCGGATCTCTGTAAGAGCGAGGCTAGCCTGGCCTACATAACAAGTTCCAGGCCAGCTGGTTCTATTGGGAGACCCTGTCTTACAAGAGAAAAAAACTAAATGAGGATAGATAACAAAAGAATAGATCAGTGCATGTGACTTTTAGTGAAATTCTATTTGTTAAAATAGCAGGCAGGCCAGACCTGGACAAGGACCATTAGATTCTACGGCAGGACCATTCTGAAGTCCTTAATTGCCTGCACCGTTTGAAACGGGACAGACACTTCTACATTCTTCCAATCTCTGTCTCTGACTCTCTCTCTCTTCTATCTTTTTGGAAAACTGAACTGTTTTCTCTTTTGTGAATGTGTTTTGAGTTGTGTGAGCAGTTGCACAATAGCTGTTGCATAACACGCCTAGTGATGCTCCAGCCAGGGTTCAAACAGCTGTGTTTTGCAGATTCACTGTTGTTTGTGGATTCAAATCTGGATTGTTTAATGTCCAGAAGGTGAAAGGACAGACTGTAAAACTGCTTGGCCCACTCTCTTACTTTCTGGATGGGCATAACATTCATTGTATTTTGTTGGGTAATTATGTAATAATGTTCTCCTTAAACCATGCATTACTGCATGTAGCTAAAGGAGTCAGCTTTGGAGAACAGTTACCACACCTGTCCTTTTCATTTTAATAAATGTTTACTAAACAATCATCAATGTACCAGTCATTCTTCAGTCTTTATTTCATTTACTAGACTGATCTTTTTTGCAAAGAAACCACAGCCCTGGCATACGTATTCCTGAGGTAACTGTTGCTGGTCCAGAGCTTGTTTTATAGGAACAATTACAGGAGTAAAGAACTTTTTCTTTCTTGTTTCCCTTGCAGAGGAAGAAATAGCTTTGGTAAGATGATGGGGGCCAGGTAGGGTACTTCAAGTCTGCACTCAGAGCTGTGTGTTTTCATTGTATGTCAGAACTAGTATTTTAATATGGGCTTTTCAGCAAAGGCTGTTTAATCTTTTCCTTCTTAGTGACATGCACACTCACACAAGGACAGGAGAGAGAAGTAAGAAATACAAGATAATAGTTATGTGACTTCTTTCAATTCTTGCAGAAGCTGGTGTATTTTAGATTTAAGTTTTAAAAAGTATGTGTTTCTGTGTGTATGGAGTGTGTGCATGTGAGTGCAGGTAACAGGAGGAAGCCAGAAGAAGATGTCAGATCTCCTGAAGCTGAAGCTACAGGTGGTTGATAGCTACCCCCTTTTGGTACTGGGAACCCAACTTAGGTCCTCTGAAAGAGCAGTATGCACTCTTAGCCTTGGCCATCTCTCCTGCCTGAGGAAACTGTTCTTATGCCAAGAAATGTATGGATGTTCTGCCATCACACAAACCAAAACAGTCGTGTCACACAGCAAACCTGTCCACAACTCAATTGTGACGCAGCTCCTGACAAGATAAAGTTTCTTCCTTACATGAGTTGAGCTTTCTATCACTCAGAATGATTGAAATTATAGTAAATTGGTTAATAAACAGCTGTACGGTGAAATTAAAGTTTCTGCAGTGGAGAGAATGTTTGCATCTCCTCAAAATGGATGTGCTTGAAATTATCCCCTGCAGTGGGATCATGTGAGGAAGTTGGGTCTTAGAGACCAAAAGTGTGTAATGAAAAGGGAGACCTTGTGAATACTAGTGACCTTGTAAGCATTTCTTTAGCCTTTATCTTTGTGTTTCTTTTTCCTCTCTTTCTTTTATGGTGCCAGGGATGGGATTCCAGTGTCTTATGCATGCCAGGCAAGCGCTCTACCCCTGAACTGTATCCCCAGCCTCTCCTGCCAGTTTCTTCTATGTGAAGATTTAAAGAGAAGTCAGGAGTCTGTAATCCAGAAGCAAGTCCTCAAACAGCCTGACCATGCTGGAACTCTGATGTCAGACCTCTAGATAACAGACCTTTGAAAAACAAATCCTTCTTATTTACAAACTGAACAGATTCTTTTTTTTTTTTTTCACAAAGGGTAAGAGATAGTTTATTCTGGAGCCAAATATGTATGACCATAGTCTGGGAACATAGACTCTGGGTACCCCAAATTCCATATTCCAGTATGGTAACAGTTACATTACATTTTTATAGTAACAGAAAAAGAAATGTCATAAAGCAAAATACTTTAAAAAAATTTTTTTATTATTATTTTTATTTTATGTGTACGTGTGTATTGCCTGCACGTAGGTAAGTGCACTTGTGTCGTGCAATGCTCATGGAGGACAGAAGAGGCTGTCGGATTCCCTGGAACTGGAGTTACAGACAGTTCTTAGCTGCCATGTGGGTGCTGGGGTTCGAACCCAGGTCTTTTGCAAGAACAACCAGTGTCCTTAACCACTGAGCCATCTCCCCAGCCCCAATTTAAAACACTTTTCAAATACATTGGTGGATACATTCAGTTGGCAGGTCATAGCAAAGGGGGGCAGGTTCTACTATGGTTCTCAGATGCTGTCTGATGACATTTTTAGCTTTTTGATTGGTGTGAGACCTGGTGGGCTCATAAGTTAATACATTTTATTAGTTACAAGAATATTAATTCAGAAACAGAGGTAGGCAAGGTGTGGCTATTTATGGAGTTAAGATGTCCCCTGATAATTTGCGAATGGACTCTGGATGTCCAACATTCCAAACTCTCCACAGTCATTGAAGTGTTTATCAGTAAGTCAGCCTTGCAGGAAATTCAGCTCAGGATGCAGGAGTTCTTTCTGGGAACTTTCTTTCACAGTGCCCCCTGTTGGCCAAGCATCGCATTTTGTGCGTGGAGGGGCCACATATTTATTCCCAGATTGTCTTAGCGGCTCATTCTTAGAATCTGATGTAGATGAGGCTCAGTAGGTGAAATAGCAGTCTTCAGGAGAGAGGAACAGCTAGCTGGTAGAGCCAATAAGAAAGAAACTCCCAGATCGTATCAAAACTACTAGCCAGCCTGACCCAGATCTTACTTTTTTTCCCTTTGTCCTCTGTATCTGACATAACATTTGCATGTGACATATAATGGAATGATTATACATAAATTAAAATAATCAAGAACATTTCTCAGTTTAATGGAGTAAATGTAACAGATTAAGTCAACAAACATTAAAATAAAAATGAGATTGACTGTGTCTTCCCCTGTTAGAGTACAGAGTTATCTGTACTCTATAAGCTATTTTGTCTATATTTATAATACTTAAACAAATTTAATGTTTGATTTTTATATAGATCCCTTAGACCTTATAGCTGTAACCTCATGGATTGGCTAGCTCTAACTCTAGTATTCTTATCGTGGATAATGACTTCATCTGTTATATTGATATCATACCAGATTTGGTATGAAAAAAAAGAAATGAAGCATATTATAGAAGAAATTACACAACAATACAGTATTCTTTAAAGTTTCTTCTAACAAGAATGTTAGTACGTAAGTCCTCATTTACATAGCAAACATTACTAACATTAATAGAGACAAGAGATCAAACCTGTTAGAAAATAAGAATTTTACAAGCCTTGAAAGCATAACCAACCACTTTTTATTTTGATGGTTAAAATGGAAATTGAATTGAGAAGGAGTCATTGTAGTATTGTCCATTTCATTAGTAAAATAAGATAGTTTAATTATTATTTTTATCCTAGCTAACTGTATTACCTAGGACAATTAGATGCTCATTTAATTAAGGAGCATCAGTACTTAAAG